TAGAATAGAACAGAAAATAGAATAGAATAGAATAGAATAGAATAGAATAGAATAGAATAGAATAGAACAGAAAATAGAATGGAATGGAACAGAGAATAGAAAAAAGAATATAGAATATAGAATAGAATAGAAAATGGAATGGAATAGAGAATAGAATAGAACAGAACAGAACAGAATAGAAAATAGAATAGAGAATAGATAATTAAGAACAGAATATGGAAGGGAACGGAACAGAACAGAACAGAACAGAAGCTGGAAGGGACCTTTGAGGTCTTCTACTCCAGCCCCCTGCTCAAGCAGGAGAAGTCCCCTCTCCTGCACTCCCAAAATGCTTGGGGGGCTGTCTCTGGGGCCCCTTCCCTCCCTCCACCTCCCTCCTTCTGCCCCTCCCCAGGAGGCCTTGGCCGACCTGGGCACCAGGCTGCACCTCACGGCCAAGGCCAAGGAGGGGCTGGCGCTGTGCACCCACACGCTCCCCGCCCAGGAGGCCGCCTGCCTGCTCCTGATCCAGACCCTCCAGCGGGAGCACCGAGGCCTCCTCCGGGGACAGCCGGACCCCTCCTCCCCAGGAAGCAGCAGCAGCAGCAGCAGCAGCAGCAGCAGCAGCGAGGAGGAAGACTTTGGGGTAACAAGCCTCCCTCACACTCCTTTCTCCCCTTCCCGAGTCACCCGGGAGCCAGTCAGGATCGAACTCTCGGCGGTGGGCAGAATTAGGCTGCAATGCCCTGTTCTGACCACTTGCGCCACCAGTGGCTCTCCCAGGGAGGCACCTCCCTTAAAGGGGATGGACAGCGCCTTGAATTGGACCCGGAAGCAAATCGGCAGCCCTGCAGCTCCCTAAAAGAGAGGGGACCCCCGGTGCAAATCTAGACATGCCCAAACCCTGCAGGCTGCCGCCTTTGGAAGCAATTGAAGCTCCGGGGTAGTTTCCAAGGGCAGCCCCGCCCCCCCGGAGAGCTCGTTGCAGTAGTCAGTACGGGAGATGACTAGGGGGAGGGGGGTTCGTTGGTCCAGGTGGAGCCCCCACAGCCCACCCCCCCAAATGCTTCCGCCCCGAGCAAGGAGCCCAGCTGCTTTCTCCTCTGCCGACATTCAGGCCCGGGTGCCCGACGGAGCTCCCTACAGGCCGCTTCCGGCTGCACCCAACACCGCGGAGGGAAGACCGGACCGGAGGAAGCCGGAAGCCCCGGTGCTCTCAGTCCTGGAGACTTTGGCTCGGTAAGGTTCCCTTTGCAGCGAAAAATAAAGAAAAGAAAAGAAATAAGAATGAAATAAGATATTTTAAAACATAAATAATCATATAACATATTAAAAAATAAACTATTAAAAATAACATTATAAAATAAGTCGTAAAATAAAATAAATCAAAGATTACATTAAATGAAAAAAATAAAATATAACATAAAATTCAAAATGAAATTAAATGAAGAAAGGAAATAAAAGCGAGAGCCAGCACTCAGCGGAACTCTGGGCTCGGCTGCCCTGCGCTGCGTGTGTGTGTGTGTGTGTGTGAAATGTTGTTGGGTTGTGGGAGAAGGGAGTGCCCAACTGCCCCCTCTTTGCTCCCCCCTCTCAAACAAGGGGACAAGCAGAACCCCCCCCCCCGCGCCCCCCCCCCCCAAGAGAATAGCAGGCTGGTCCTTTGGGGCAGAACCCCTCCATGCCCCCCCCAAAGAATGAGCTGGAAAGACCCCCCCTTCCCCTCATCCCAAACACTGAGGGGGGGCAGGATAGGGGAGTTTTCTTCCTGCCAGCCCCACCCCCCCACCCCCCCAGCCCCCTAAACCTCCGGCAAGGCAGATCAAATTGCTTGGATTATTTTTTTCACTGTGGAAAGAAAAGGTCCCAGGGATTGGAAGTGCAAAGTGCAACACGCTCAGCTCTCGCACACCAAAGACGCCCATCTGGGATCCAGGCGGGAACTTCGAGCACCCCTGGCGGTCTTGGGGTAGAAAGTCCGTGTAAACCGGGGGTCCCCAAACCTCAAGGCCCCTTTCAGGCTTGTGGACTTCAACTCCCAGAATTCCCCAGCCAGCAAAGCTGATCCGTGGCTCCCAGCATAGCTGGCTGAGGGATTCTGGGAATTGAAGTCCACAAGCCTGAAGGGGGCCTTGAGGTTGGGGACCCTGCCCAGCCCCCCTCGGTCTGAGCCCCTGGCCAGAGAAAGAGGGGTGCTCTTGAAGGGGATCCCTTCGTTTCTCTCTCGGTTCCTGGGGAGAAAACCACGAAATCTCCCTTCCGCAGCCGGCACACTGCGGGGCTGAACGTGGGTCCTTGGCTTACGACCACAATTCGCGACAGAGGCTCTGGTTTTCAAGCACGGTCGGCTGTTGAGGGAGTTGCGCCCCACTTTACAAAGGGTTTTTTTTTGGCGGCGGGGGAATGAGTCATTAAGAGAATTACTGCAGCCCTTAAGTGAATCGCGTGGCTGTTAAGCGAACCTGGCTTCCCCCACCCTCACCTTTGACTCGGCTGGGAAGGCTTCATGGGGAGATCCCGGGGATTCTGCAACCGTCATAAAGAGGAGACAGTGGCCAAGTGTCCGAATTTGGATTGCGTGGCCACGGGGGAAATGCTGCAATGGTCATAAGTGTGAAAACTGGTCACAAGACATGTCATTCAGTGTCATCATAACTTTGGTTATAAGTCGAGGACCTTGTGGGGGGGGTGAGCCAAGGGTCCCTGCCCCCCACCCATTTTGGGGGACGGGTAGAAAGGAACGTGCGCCCCCCCCCCGATAAGAGCAGGGCTCCCTCTTGCGGCCCCCCTCATCCCCTCCGGGCCGGCGATAGAAGCCAGGGGGCTGCTGATCCTGGGGAGGGGGTAGGGCTGCCTCCCCCCACCCCCACCCCGAGTGGGCTTCCTCGTCCTCACCTTGACCTCCTCTGGCTCTTTGCAGGATCCGGGTGCTGAAGGAACGTCTGGAGGGCCTTTGGGTTGCCCTGGAGGAGAAGAGCCAGGACTGCAGGGCCCAGGAGGCCCAGGAGCTGGAGCTCATGCAGGACTTCTTCCAAGCCCATAGGTAGGGGAGGGGAGGGGAGGGAGGGGAGGGGCTGCCCCTTCCCCCCCCCCGCTGGCCCCTCAGCCTCCGGACACACCAAAATGGACAGCAGCAGTCTACCAGCCGTGGCCCCTGGAAGAGGTGGGGACTTTGCTGGCTGTGGAATTCTGGGAGTTGAAGTCCACAGGTCTTAAAGGGGCCACGTCTGGGGCGCTACCGTTTGCATGGAGTGGCCGGGAGGGAAAGTGGAACTGGGCTGTCCCACCCCCAGGTGCGTTGCACTAAAACTCCCACCACCTCCTCCGCCAGCACACCTGGGCAAGACCCGTCCGGCTGCTGCGGCGGCCTCTTCCAGCCCCTCCCTGGGCCGGGGGGTCCCCCCAGGCTACCCCGGGGCCCCTCCTCACCCCCCCTCTCTCTCTCCTCGCAGCACCCTCCTCCTTGCCTACCAGAAGGCCCGCCAGAAGCAGGAGAGCCAGGTGGGGCAACTGGAGACGCAGGTGGGGCTGATGACCAGGCGCCAGGCCAAGCAGCGCCGGGCCCTCCTGCAAACCCTCCAGCAGCTGCAGCAGCCCCCTGGGCCAGCCCCTGGGCCCAGGGAGAGCCCCCTGGAGCCTCCCGGGGATTTGGGGGTCCCCTCTTCTTTCTGGAGCAGAAAGTGAGGCTTTGATGGACACCCACAAGCCCCCCCCCACCTCCGGAGGACCCAGGCGGCTGGGGCCATGAGAGGCTCTGAAACCACTGAGAAGCGGCATATAAGTCTCCGTGCTCTGGCTATTTCCTTCCTTCCTTCCTTCCTTCCAAGAACAGATCATCAGTTGGAAGGGACCTTGTAGGTCATCTAGACCAACCCCCTGCCCAAGCAGCCGTCTTTCCTCCCTCCCTTCCCTCCCAGTGGCTAGAATACATTCTTGCAGGCTAACTCTGCCCACTGCCAGCCGTCCAGTTCTGACTGGCTCAGCCTTCCGTCCTCCCGTCCTTCCGAGGTGGGTCAAACGAGGCCTCCGGTTGTCTCGGAAGAGGCCGCAAAGCACCGTGAAGCGGCATAGAAGTCTAAGCGCTGCCGCCGTCTGCCTGCCCTGCAGCTGTGGGCTGGGCTGCCTCTTCTCCGGCCGTTCCCTTGGCCGCTTCGCCCAACCTTCCCTGCCTTCTTTCCCAGGGCCAGAGGCACCCAGGCTTCACCAAAGGGGGGGGAGGGAGGGAGGGAGGGAGGGGCTGGTTCTTCTTGGCTCCTGGATCCCTCAGGATCGGTGAGAAGCGATCCTGTCACTGTTCTGGAGGCTCTTTGCAGGTTTGGGGTTTTTCTCAGAAGTTCTCGGAAGCACGAGGGTTTTTCCTTTTTCCCCTGTTGAAGAATTAATTCATCTGTCCCACCATGAACCCTCCTGTGCATCATCAACCTGCAGCCTTTCCCCCCTCCGAGCCCCTGGGGGAGGCAGCCCCCCCCCCACCGTTCGAATAAAACACGTCCGGGATGTGGCAAAACCTCCCAAGGCCGAAGGCCGTTGTAGCTGCCCATTGGGTGGGATTCTGCTCTTTTAAGCAGCTCTTCTAACTTGAATGTATTTTCACGTTAAAAAAGTTAGTTATGAAAGGGGGTTTGTTTTTAATGATGGCCTTTATTATTAAGGGGGAGGGGGAAGAAGAGAAGGAAGAGAAAGAAAGAAAGAGAAAGAGAGAAAGGAAAGAGAGAAAGAAAGAAAGAAAGAAAGAAAGAAAGAAAGAAAGAAAGAAAGA